TGTCAGAGGGTGTTCTCTCTGTGTCAGAGGGGTGTTCTCTCTGTGACAGAGGGGTGTTCTCTCTGTGTGACAGAGGGTGTTTCTCTCTGTGACAGAGGGGTGTTTCTCTCTGTGTCAGAGGGGTGTTTCTCTCTCTGTGTCAGAGGGGTGTTCTCTCTGTGTGACAGAGGGTGTGTGTTCTCTCTGTGACAGAGGGGTGTTCTCTCTCTGTGTCAGAGGGGTGTTCTCTCTGTGTGACAGAGGGGTGTTCTCTCTGTGTCAGAGGGGTGTGTCTCTCTCTGTGTCAGAGGGTGTTCTCTCTGTGTCAGAGGGGTGTGTTCTCTCTGTGACAGAGGGGTGTTCTCTCTGTGTCAGAGGGGTGTTCTCTCTGTGACAGAGGGGTGTTCTCTCTGTGTCAGAGGGGTGTTCTCTCTGTGATCTGTGTGACAGAGGGGTTTCTCTCTGTGTTCAGAGGGGTGTTCTCTCTGTGACAGAGGGGTGTTCTCTCTCTGTGTGACAGAGGGGTGTTCTCTCTGTGTGACAGAGGGGTGTTCTCTCTGTGTGTCAGAGGGGTGTTCTCTCTGTGACAGAGGGTGTTCTCTCTCTGTGTCAGAGGGGTGTTCTCTCTGTGACAGAGGGTGTGTTCTCTCTGTGTCAGAGGGGTGTTCTTCTCTGTGTGACAGAGGGGTGTTCTCTCTCTGTGACAGAGGGGTGTTCTCTCTGTGACAGAGGGGTGTCTCTCTGTGTCAGAGGGGTGTTCTCTCTGTGACAGAGGGGTGTGTCTCTCTCTGTGTCAGAGGGGTGTTCTCTCTGTGTCAGAGGGTGTTCTCTCTGTGTCAGAGGGGTGTTCTCTCTGTGACAGAGGGGTGTTCTCTCTGTGACAGAGGGGTGTTCTCTCTGTGTGACAGAGGGGTGTTCTCTCTGTGTGACAGAGGGGTGTTCTCTCTCTGTGTCAGAGGGGTGTTCTCTCTGTGACAGAGGGGTGTTCTCTCTGTGACAGAGGGGTGTTCTCTCTGTGTGACAGAGGGGTGTTCTCTCTGTGTCAGAGGGGTGTTCTCTCTGTGTGTCAGAGGGGTGTTCTCTCTCTGTGTCAGAGGGGTGTTCTCTCTGTGTCAGAGGGGTGTTCTCTCTGTGACAGAGGGGTGTTCTCTCTGTGACAGAGGGGTGTTCTCTCTGTGTCAGAGGGGTGTCATTTCCCTCATGTACTTCACTTTATTTACGTCGTCTCTGTTGTGATGAGGAGGTTTGTCTTTTGGACACATGTGACTCAACTTTATGTTTCCATATTGAACATACTGCGTTTACAAGCCACAGTGTCCTGGTACTATTGAATATCCCAGTTTCTCAGTCAGGAAACTGAAAGTGGGACACTGTGTCTACATGCACCATGATGAAACCAGGACACTCCAAAACCCCACGATCAGAACTGTTACACTGATGTGCAGGTGAAAACACTGGGGCTGTTCCAGTTACTGACAGAACAGACAAATACCTCAGAGAATTTAAATGCAGAGAAGTGGAACAGACAAAACCCAGAACCACCCAGACTGCTGTTGGACAGATTATTTATAAGATCCCAATGGCCACGTTTACATGATGTTTTAATTTTGAATTGTTTTGAATGAAATGGCTTGAATTTTAAATATTCTCCTTTGATTTTACATGGAAATAATACCTGTGAATTGAGGCCTTTATTTACCTGCGCTCAGCGTCTTCAAGTTCTTACCTTAAAGACTTTGGCGGCGAGAGGATCTTTTTCCAGATCAATGTCTAAAGGATCAATATCAACGTCCATGAGGTCCTGCAGAAGGTCAAAGTCGATGTCTTTGTCTTTCTCCAGCGCGGCCAGAGGGGGCGCTAGAGGAGCAGCCAGAGGAGCAGCCAGAGGAGGGGCACCTGTGGGCAGGACAGGGCAGGTTGGTACAGGACAGGGCACCACATCTGCACTCGACTCAACAGAGAATGAACAAGATACTGGAGAAAACACACGTCGCCCGTTAAACGCACAACTGCACACAAACACGTCAGGGGTTTGTGTGTTTGGTTTGTGCTGCTCTAGTCTTGAGATATTAATGACTGTTTCATGGGTCTGTTTTCATTTGTGAGTTTCTTTCTAAAATTATTCATTTTTATTTTTGTGTAAATTATATTTTGTTCATTTCTGTTCATCTGACGACAGCGACTTTAATGAAACTCCACAAAACTAGAAGAGAAACGACCAGAGGCTGTGGAAAAGTCTGAGTTATTCTATAAAATATGAATCAAAAGTGAGTTACGAGAGATCAGGATTCTCACTGTTTCACTGACAACATTTCAAAACTTTTCCATGACTTTTTCATGAGCTAAAGTGAATTTTCCAGGACTTTCCAGCACCTTCATGTGTAGAACTGATCAACTGATGTCTCTGTGTGTGTGTGTGTGTCTCTGTGTGTGTCCGTGTGTGTGTCTGTCTGTGTGTGTGTGTGTGTGTCTCTGTGTGTGTCCGTGTTGTGTGTGTCTCTGTGTCCGTGTGTGTGTCTCTGTCTCTGTGTGTGTGTGTCTCTGTGTGTGTGTGTGTCTGTGTGTCGTGTGTGTCTCTGTGTGTGTGTGTGTGTGTCTCTGTGTGTGTGTGTCTGTGTCTGTGGTGTGTTGTGTGTGTCTCTGTGTGTCCGTGTGTGTGTGTTGTGTGTGTGTGTCTCTGTGTGTGTGTGTGTGTGTGTGTGTCTGTGTGTGTGTGTGTGTGTGTGTGTGTGTGTGTCTGTGTGTGTGTGTGTGTGTGTGTCGTGTGTGTGTCTGTGTGTGTGTGTGTCTCTGTGTGTGTCCGTGTGTGTGTGTGTGTCGTACTTTGAAACACTGCTGTGTTGTTGGCTGTTCCGGTGATTATATCGGGCACCAAACCTTCGTCTAAACTGTCGACCAGAGGCACCGGAGCCGACGGCGCCAGAGACTCGTCACAGTCCACACTGCCCCCTGCTGACGAAGACGAGGCGCCGTCATCAGGAGCAGCGCCGTCCTCCATCACGTCCAGAGACACCGGGGACTGGAGCTCACCTGGACCAGACAGAGGAGGGTTTAGACCAGGACTGAACCAGGACTGAACCAGGACTGAACCAGGACTGAACCAGGACTGAACCAGGACAGAACGAGGTCTAAACCAGGACTGAACCAGGACTGAACCAGGACTGAACCAGGACTGAACCAGGACTGAACCAGAACTGAACAGGACTGAACAGGACTGAACAGGACTAAAAACAGGACTAAACCAGGTCTGAACCAGGACTGAACTAGGACTAAACCAGGACTGAACCAGGACTAAACCAGGACAGAACCAGGACAGAACCAGGACTAAACCAGGACTAACCAGGACTAAACCAGAACCAGGACTAAACCAGGACTAAACCAGGACTAAACCAGGACTGAACCAGGACTGAACCAGGACTGAAGCAGGACTAAACCAGGTCTGAACAGGACAGGTGTGTTACCTGCGAGGATGTCCTGGAGCATACAGGTGAGGCTGTACTGGGCCCAGGCTCCGCCCCAGGAGATGTCTCCTCTGTTGAAGTCCGTCCCCACCAGCAGGAGGAGGAGTCTCTCCAGCTGCTGCTCCGACACCACCTCACACAGGTGGATGGTCGGCCGCGTGGCGTTGGCGATACGAGCCAGAACCTGCAGACAAACAATACCAACGTGATCATCCAACAACTTCATCTCAATATAATGTTTGCAAAGTTTAAACATCTGAACTTCAGCTCAGTTTGTAGTAGTAGTAGTAGTAGTAGTAGTAGTAGTAGTAGTAGTAGCAGTAGCAGTAGTAGTAGTAGTAGTGAGTAGTGGAGTGTTTTGTAGGTCTGGAGGGTTGAGATTTTTTTTAAAGAGCAGAGCTACAGAATGTGACTGAATCAGAGGTCGGTAAATAACAGTTGTTAAATCTCGTCTGGTACATACGTCGTGTACCGTGTTACGTCGCGTTGTACTGTCGTGGCGTGTTACTTGTCGTGGTACGTGGCGTGTTACGTGTTACTTGTCGTGGTACGTGGCGTGTTACTTTGCGTGTTACTTGTCGCGTGTACGTGTACGTGTGTCGCGTGTTACTTGTCGTGGTACGTGTTACTTGTGGCGTGTTACTTGGCGTGGTACGTGGCGTGTTACTTGGCGTGGTACGTGACGTGTTACTTGGCGTGGTACGTGGCATGTTACTTATCGCATGTTACCTGTCGCGGTACGTGGCGTGTTACTTGTCGCGGTACGTGGCGGTTACTTGTGGTACGTGGCGTTTGTTACGTGGCGCGGTACGTGGCGTGTTACTTGTGGTACGTGGCGTGTTACTTGTACGCGTGGTACGTGCGTGGTACGTGGCGTGTTACTTGGCGCGTACGTGGCGTGTACTTGGCGCGGTACGTGGCGTGTTACTTGGCGCGGTACGTGGCGTGGTACGTGGCGTGTTACTTGTCGCGTGTTACTTGTGTTACGTGGCGTGTTACGTGGCGTGTTACTTGGCGTGGTACGTGGCATGTTACTTATCGCATGTTACCTGTCGCGGTATGTGGCGTGTTACTTGGCGTGGTACGTGGCGTGTTACTTGGCGTGTTACATGGCGTGGTACGTGGCGTGGTACGTGGCGTGTTACTTGTCGCGTGTTACGTGTACGTGGCGTGGTACGTGGCGTGTACTTGGCGCGTGTACTTGGCGGTACGTGGCGTGTTACTTGGTTACGTGGCGTGTTACTTGGCGCGGTACGTGGCGTGTTACCTGTCGCGGTACGTGGCGTGTTACTTGGGCGGTACTTGCGCGTGTTACTTGGCGCGGTACGTGGCGTGTTACTTGCGTGGTACGTGGCGGTTACTTGTCGGTACGGCGTGTTACTTGTCGCGTGTACTTGTCGTGGTACGTGGCGTGTTACTTGTCGCGTGTTACGTCGTGTACGTGGCGTGTACGTGGCGTGTTACTTGGCGTGGTACTTGGCGTGTTACTGTATCGCATGTTACTGGCGTGTTACTTGTCGTGGTACGTGGCGTGTTACTTGCGCGGTTACGTGGCGTGTACGCGTGTTACTTTTGGTACGTGGCGTGTTACTTGGCGCGGTACGTGGCGTGTTACTTGTCGTGGTACGTGGCGTGTTACTTGTCGCGTGTACGTGGCGTGGTACGTGGCGTGGTACTTGTCGCGGTACGTGGCGTGTTACTTGTCGTACGGTGTACGTGGTACGTGGCGTGTTACTTGTCGCGTGTTACTTGGCGTGGTACGTGGCGTGTTACTTGGCGTGTTACTTGGCGCGTGTTACGTTGCGGTACGTGCGTGTTACTTGGCGCGGTACGTGGCGTGTTACTTGGCGCGGTACGTGGCGTGTTACTTGGCGCGGTACGTGGCGTGTTACTTGTCGCGGTACGTGGCGTGTTACTTGGCGCGTGTTACTTGGCGCGGTACGTGGCGTGTTACTTGGCGCGTGTTACTTGTCGTGGTACGTGGCGTGTTACTTGTGTGGTACGTGGCGTGTTACTTGTCGCGGTACGTGGCGTGTTACTTGGCGCGTGTTACTTGCGTGGTACGTGGCGTTACTTTGTTACTTGCGTGGTACGTGGCGTGTTACGTGCGGTACGCGTGTACGCGGTACGTGGCGTGTTACTTGGCGGTTACTTGCGTGTTACTTGGCGTGTTACGTGGCGTGGTACGTGGCGCGTTACTTGTCGCATGTTACTTGGTGTTACTTGGTGCGGTACGTGGCGTGTTACTTGGCGTTGTACCTTGCAGACGAAGAGCAGCAGGTCGGCGTGGCAGGTGAAGTCCATGGAGAGCAGGAACAGAGCGAGTTTCTGAACCACAGAGATGCAGCGTTCGTGAGACAGAGTGAAGGGCAGAGGCTCCGCCTCCGACGCCTCCTTCACCGCCGCCGCCTCCGAGTCCAGCGACGAGCGCGGCCACTCGGCGGTCCGACGCAGACGGATCAGGTCCTTAAAGTGCTAAAAAAAAACACAGACACGAGTAACTATCAGACAACACAAAAAGACGAGAAAAGCTTCAGAGGAGATAAAAGCAGACGACCCCAACGTGAAGATGTTTGAAGATGTTCTCGAGACGTGGACACCTGCAGCTTATAGACACGTGTGGACTATTTCTGTACATATGTTTTTTCTTTTTTGATGCTGTTTATATTCAGGTGCGCTCAATAGTCTGGGTATTACGGTAAGTGTCTCCTGTCGTGGTTAAACAGACCTTTGACGTGGCCTGTTTGAGCCTGGCCTGTTCCACCAGGAGCTTGTAGGAGGAGCCTTTGTTGCTCTGGATCTTCTCCTTCTCGATCTGCTCCACCAAAGCTTTCTGTTTGGCTTTCAGCAAGTTCAGCTGCTGCACACAAAGAGACGCATCATTAGACGAGTTCAGGAAGAACCAGGACAAACCAGAACATTCACACAAACAACTGAAGAACCAGGACACATCAGAACATTCACACAAACAACTGAAGAACCAGGACACATCAGAACATTCACACAAACAACTGAAGAACCAGGACACACCAGAACATTCACACAAACAACTGAAGAACCAGGACACATCAGAACATTCACACAAACAACTGAAGAACCAGGACACACCAGAACATTCACACAAACAACTGAGGACAAATCACAAGCAACATGTTTCAAACGTTTAGGAATTTCTCCTCTTCACCTCCCGGTCTCTTCCTCATCACTCCTGTCTGTCCTCAGTCTGTCCTCTGTCTGTCCTCTGTCTGTCCTCTGTCTGTCCTCTGTCTGTCCTCTGTCTGTCCTCTGTCTGTCCTCTGTCCTCACCCTCCCTCTTCTCCCTCTCTCTGTCCTCCCTCTGTCTGTCCTCTTTCCTTCCTCTGACTCTCCATCTTCTCCCTGTCCTCTCCCTCTCTGTCTCTCCTCCTCTGTCTCTGTCTCCCTCTGTCCTCCCTCTGTCCTCCCTCTGTCCTCCCTGTGTCCTCTGTCTTCTCTCCCCTTCCTCTCTCTGTCTTCTCTGTCTCTCCCTCTCGTCTTCTCCCTCTGTCTTCTCCCTCTGTCTTCTCCTCTGTCTCTCTCCCTCTGTCTTCTCCCTCTGTCTATCCCTCCTCTGTCTTCTCCCTCTGTCCTCTCTCTGTCTTCTCCCTCTGTCCTCTCTTCTCTCTCCCCTGTCCTCTCTCTGTCCTCTCTCTGTCTTCTCCCGTCCTCCCTCTGTCTCTCTCTGTCTTCTCCCTCTGTCCTCTCTCTGTCTTCTCTTAGACTTAGACAAACTTTATTGATCCACAAAGGAAATTATATTAGTCCTCTCTTTGTCTTTCCTCTGTTTTCTCTATCGTCTCCTCTCCCTCCTCTGTCCTCCTCCTCCTCCTCGTCTCCTCCTCCTCCTGTCTCCTCGTGCACGTTTACCTGTTTGTGGTGGACCAGTTGCTTCCTGATCTTCCTGGAGTAGAGTCGGTCCAAACTGGAGTTTCCTTTAGACGCTCGACTGGAGCTCTGAGACTGGAGGCTGTTATTGATGAAGCTCCACTGGATCCCTGCAAAACACCAAACACCAAACATCAAACATCACACCAACGTCGAGGGCTACACCTGCATCTGACCCGTCCTTCAGGTCTCTGGGTTTAACCTAGCAGGAGCAGTGGGACACATCTCCAGATCTTGAGCTAGTCTTGGTCAGGACATTATCTTGAGAACTTTACTTTGCCCAGAGAAAGAACAAGCAAACTCCACACAGTAACAAACCAGGGACCTTCTCTCATTGAGGAGGTCTACAGTTTAACCTGAGCAGCTCCTGAGGGTCTGTGAAGTCATGTTCAGACCAAATGCGTCTGGTGCAAATAAATCAAACTCCCTCAGTTTGCCGCTTGACTTTTTTGACTCATTCTCTTCGTTCTTGCGTCCTGGTCGCTCGAGTTTGGGAATTTGGTCGTGTGAGTAAATCTGCTCTGTTCACTCCAGAAGGATCAAGTGTGTTTGCGCGGTTCCTCTGCATCTGTTTTTATTTGGAAAAATGGTGGACTTGGAGAACATCGAGTGGAGTGACCAGACCGGGACTGAGACCAAGGCCATTTTAGTCCAGTTTAAGTCCAGTTTAAAGTCCAGTTTTAGGTCCAGTTTAAGGTCCAGTTTAAGTCCAGTTTAAAGTCCAGTTTTAAGTCCAGTTTTAGGTCCAGTTTTAGGTCCAGTTTTAGGTCCAGTTTTAGTCCCTATGCGGTTCCAAAATTCCGGCATCACAGACCAGGACTGAGACCAGGACCAGAGCAGATCCAGACCAGGACTGAGACTGGGACCAGAGTAAAGGAGAGGGGGACAGAGTCTGGTGCAGGTTCTGCTCTGTGGACTTTATTTCGGTCTCTGTTCTGTACAATATCGTCTTGTTTCCCACGGGAACAGTGAGCGTCTCCTTCATGTTGAGTGAAAGTTCACGTCTGCCTCAGTTTTAGGCGTCACTCTCAGAACACGGGCCCTGATTGGTTGATGTGACACGAATATTTGTAGAAAGTAAAAAATGTTCAACTTTGGAGAATTTCGCAAGCCCCTCCCCTTTGGGAATTCGCGCATCAACAGCAGTTTCACAAATTCATGGCGCTCGTTTCACCGATTTGCACCTCTGAAAATGCGGCACTAAGGCCGTGTTCAGATGCACCTGAAGTTTCCCAAATCCGATTTTTTGGCCCCTATGTTCCTGTATCTGATCTTTTCATGTCTGAACCACACAGATCTGATGTTTTCACATGTGACCAGGACACTTGGATCTGTGCTCCTGAAACTGATCCATATCTGATCTTTAACATGTGACTTGAGTGTGAACAGTCAGGTCACATTCATCCACCTACACGTCATCAACAAGACACAAACGTCACTATTCTGCACTGAAGTAGAGAAAACTGTTCATGATCCATGTGACTGAAGTGAAGCACATCTCCACTCACCACAAAACACCACCACCAAAAACCTGGTCCTTCTCCTTCTCAATCTCCTCCTTAAAACAAGTCAGTTGTTCATGTTGTGGCTCCGGTACGAGAGGAACTTTAAAATCTCCAGGTGCTCGATGCTGCGTCCATGTTTGTTCAACTTGTGTAAACACAGAGACGCTCGCTGCGGTTGACGTCGTCGTGTCTCCAGTGTCACATGTGGGACACTTTTGGACCGTTTAATGTTCACACTGGAGTCACATACAAGTCACATTTAACTGGAAATGTGAACGACCTCGAAAAAACATCGGATTTCACCAAAAAATCGGAATTGAGCGTTAAACCTGCAGACTGAACGGAGACTAATTCGCGACGCAGAACCATTCTTCACACGTCAACCACCTTTACACAGGGTTAACATGTAAATCATTGGCCTTGTTCACGCCAGAAGCATTCGGGTTTAAACACAGTTTAATGGTCCTGGTCTCTGAGGAGGTCTGTGGTTTTTACCTGAGCAGCTCCGGTCCCGCTCTTTTCCTCCCAGGTGCTTTTTGGCTCCTGACGCTTCGTCTTCGATACTGGCCACGGAGTCCAAGAGTCTGGAGACCAACATCACCACCCAGCTGATCATCGGGATGTCCAACACTCCTGGACACGCGTTAAACACACAAATAAACACACAAAAAACACAAACAAACAAACAAACAAACACACTCCTGAAGCCAAATCTTAGAATGTAAACAGTCTGTTCTGAGTCTCTGTCCTCGAATTAATCTACAGAGTCAAACATGAACTGACCCTAAAACTTCTCTACACTGTAAATATGTTTTATTTAAACCTGTGTGTGTCTCTGTGTGTGTGTCTCTGTGTGTCTGTGTGTGTGTCTGTCTGTGTGTGTGTCTCTGTGTGTCTGTGTGTGTCTCTGTGTGTGTGTGTCTCTGTGTGTGTGTGTCTCTGTGTGTCTCTGTGTGTATCTCTGTATGTGTGTGTGTCTCTGTATTTGTGTGTGTATCTGTGTGTGTGTGTGTGTGTGTGTATGTGTGTGTGTATCTGTGTGTATCTCTGTGTATATGTGTGTGTGTGTCTCTGTATTTGTGTGTGTGTGTGTCTCTGTGTTTCTGTGTATGTGTGTGTGTGTGTCTCTGTATTTGTGTGTGTATCTGTGTATCTGTGTGTGTGTGTGTGTGTGTGTGTATCTGTGTGTATCTCTGTATGTGTGTGTGTGTGTCTCTGTATGTGTGTGTGTGTGTGTGTGTGTATCTGTGTGTGTGTGTGTGTGTATGTGTGTATCTGTGTGTATCTCTGTGTATATGTGTGTGTGTGTCTCTGTATTTGTGTGTGTCTCTGTGTGTGTGTGCCTCTGTGTGTGTGTGTATCTGTGTGTATCTGTGTGTGTACTTGTACCTTCAGTCCTCCGGAGGGCGCTGTTCTGGGCAGGTTGTTGTAGAGGACAGAGTAAAGAGTCGAGCAGGTTCAAAAGTCCCTCCAGAACTCCACTGTTACTGAGAGAACGCTGCCCGATACACGACAGCAACATGAACACTCTGACCAAACACGACGAGACACCAGACACCAGACGAGACACCAGACGAGACGAGACGAGAGACGAGGAGAGAAGAGAGAAGAGGGCTTTAGGTTACAGTGCATATAAACAACTCATTTTACCAAAATTAAGTTCAGTTAAGTTATATTTAAGATTTCATTAAGAAAGCTTAAAAAAAAAAACTGCCCAATGTGGCAACGTTGTAGTTGTTGTTCACCTCCTGGTTAAAAATCATGACATCATAACAGGGAATTCAAATAAAAATACAAATAAAAATGTAAGAAAATGCCTTTATCTTGTTTAGTTGTTAAATATATATATATTAAAAAAAAAGTGTTTCTTCTGTAAATTTTGCAGAACTTTTGGACAGAATTCTCCCCATGTGACAATTTAAGGAAACAAAACAAAAAAAACAAAATCAAACTACTAAAATCATGAAAACGTGAACTCAAAATGTACTGTGTGAACACATAACCCGCCTCACGTTAAATAATTAAATGAATGAATAATGAATAAATAAATACATTATTGTATTTATTTATTTATTTATTTTTTATTATTTTTTATTTATTTAATTTTTTTTATGTACTTTTTACATTTATATTAATTTTATGTGTGGAAAAAAAACTGGGCATATAAACTGACAAGAGGAAAAAAGCACTGAATAAATTGCAAAAAAAAAAAGACAACAAGGATTTTAAGCTGAGAAAAAGATTATGATTTGAAAAAAGGTAAACATCGCCATAAAATCCAACATTTTTGAAAGTTATAGGTGCCCAGTCAGTCCCTGTCAGTCCCTGTCAGTCCCTGTCAGTCCCTGTCAGTCCCAGTCAGTCCCCAGTCCCTGTCAGTCCCTGTCAGCCCCAGTCCCAGTCCCCTGTCAGTCAGTCCCCCTGTCAGTCCCTGTCAGTCCCAGTCAGTCCCTGTCAGTCCCAGTCAGTCCCAGTCAGTCCCTGTCAGTCCCCAGTCAGTCCCTGTCAGTCCCTGTCAGTCCCAGTCAGTCCCTGTCCAGTCCCCAGTCCCAGTCAGTCCCTGTCAGTCCCTGTCAGTCAGTCCCTGTCAGTTCCAGTCAGTCCTGTCAGTCCCTGTCAGTCCCCAGTCAGTCCCAGTCAGTCCCTGTCAGTCCCTGTCAGTCCCAGTCAGTCCCAGTCAGTCCCTGTCAGTCCCAGTCAGTCCCTGTCAGTCCCTGTCAGTCCCAGTCAGTCCTGTCAGTCCTGTCAGTCCCCAGTCAGTCCTGTCAGTCCCAGTCAGTCCCAGTCAGTCCCTGTCAGTCCCAGTCAGTCCCTGTCAGTCCCATGTCAGTCCCAGTCAGTCCTGTCAGTCCCTGTCAGTCCCTGTCAGTCAGTCCCTGTCAGTCCCAGTCAGTCCCTGTCAGTCCCTGTCAGTCCCTGTCAGTCCCAGTCAGTCCCTGTCAGTCCCTGTCAGTCCCTGTCAGTCCCAGTCCCCAGTCAGTCCGTCAGTCCAGTCAGTGTCAGTCCCTGTCAGCCCTGTCAGTCCCAGTCAGTCCCAGTCAGTCCAGTCTGTCAGTCCCTGTCAGTCAGTCCCTGTGTCAGTCCTGTCAGTCTCCCAGTCAGTCCCTCAGTCAGTCCCTGTCAGTCCCCAGTCAGTCCCTGTCAGTCCCCAGTCAGTCCCAGTCAGTCCCTGTCAGTCCCTGTCAGTCCCAGTCAGTCCCAGTCAGTCCCTGTCAGTCCCTGTCAGTCCCTGTCAGTCCCTGTCAGTCCCTCCCAGTCAGTCCCTGTCAGCCAAACATGAGCAGTTTGTGTGGGACAGATACAAACAGCAACACCTCCACTTATTTTAATTGATCCATGGGAAAACAAAACTCTACTTTCTGTAATTTTCAACATATTTTCAACTTTTCTTCATAAATATTTTGATTTGTGTAAAACAATAATTTGATATAATATACAGGTTTTATGACACCAAATAAAGTAAAGATCTGAGTCATAAAAACATCAGTAGTAGTAGTAGTATTTGTAGTAGTAGTAGTAGTAGTAGTAGTAGTAGTATTTGTAGTATTTGTAGTAGTAGTAGTAGTAGTTAGTAGTAGTAGTAGTAGTAGTAGTAGTAGTAGTAGTAGTAGTAGTAGTAGTTGTAGTAGTAGTAGTAGTAGTAGTAGTAGTA